ACATCATTGTAACCACTTCATACTGACATATACACCTAAACTGATATGCCATATGGAGAAATAGTGCATACTTATTCATGGTGGATGTGCTAAACTCTGCATGCGTGCATGCTTCATTCAGCCGCTAATGCTTGTGAGCAGTCGAACCGGTGCCACGAGAGGGCCGAGTGCATCCCGCTGGGAAACAGTTATACCTGTCGCTGTCAGCTGGGGTACACCGGCGACGGTCTGACCTGCACCTGTAAGTTGTGCCATGCAGGGGGCTACACATGCCACATGCACTATGACCATGCATCTCTATATTGCACATGCTTGCTCGAGAAAAGCCATGATTAATATCTTTTGGCTCTTGATGTACGTATAGCAATATCAATTTATTGTTTTAACATTTGTTGTGACTATGGAGATATTTAATAGTTTTATTTGATCTTCCTGAAGTGTGGTGTTGTCTACTTCAAGGCCATATTACTGCAGGGACCTGTATCAATTTGAATATGCATACCATTTTGGAATCACCCTCACAGGAGTCATAAAACTAGCATTTTGTGGCAGCAAACCTTGGTTCTTCTAAGCTCTCTGTTGGCCCTTGTGAGCCTGACCCCTGTCTCTGTGTTGTACTGTGTGTCAATGTAGAGTCTGGAATGGTGTTAGTATTAGGCTTACGTTTACACTCCTGTTGAGAGTATATTTGAGAAAAGTTGTCCCTTTGGCCATTTCAGTTGGACACAAACTCAGCTTTTATTGGTGGTGCAGTGTGTGTTCTACATGTACATAAGTACTATGTACGTGTGTGTTTTCTACATACATGTACATATATCTTATATAGCAAAGACAATCCAAAAGCTAAATTTGTAATCAGACTCATTATTTTTCTACTACCATTCTAGCTCTATCCAGAGACCCATGCATTCCGAACCCTTGTGGTGCAAATGGTCGCTGCCTGCCGCAGGGCTCTTCATACAGATGTGAGTGTTCTCCTGGCTTTCAGCCAGGACCAGCTGGCACATCCTGCTTACGTAAGTTTATTTTAATATATTTGATGACCAATTTTGATTTAACAGTAGTTAGTGCAGTGTGCATAACCCAGAATAGCACCAAAGAAAACTAGTTCATCATTTTCCAATAGGGTATGGTGCTCTCTCCAGCTCCATCCATCTACCATTTGATAAAATTACATGGTAAGGACAAACGGTAAACTTGTTTTGTGTGTGTGTAACAAACGCGAAAATGTTTTGAGCCATTTTTTAAAATTTCCTTTTGTGATCATTCAGTAAATATATTGATTTGATCGATTACAGCAAAGACGACATGTATACTACTACCCTACAGAATCGAAAAATTTTCCCATTCCTTATTTGTAGTCACTGTTGAGTTGAAATTTTTAGAGGGTTTAATTTCAGAATCAAGATCTTAAATTTGTAATGACAACTTTGCCTTGCAGGACAAGCAGTCGACCCATGTACTCCAAACCCCTGTGATCCCACCAATGGTCGGTGTGTGCCACAAGGCTCTACCTACCAGTGTGTGTGTAACCCTGGATATCAGCTAGGAGCAGACAGAAGAACATGTACTCCTCGTAAGTCATTTGGTCCTTGTAAAATTCATCAGATTTGACTTGTGGGAATCTTTTTTTTTCTTTTTTTGAGTGTGTAGTCTCAACCTTTGTCTTCTAGGACAAGTAGTCAACCCATGTATCCCGAACCCCTGTGATCCCACCAATGGCCGGTGTGTGGCACAAGGCTCTACCTACCAGTGTGTGTGTAACCCTGGTTATCAGCTAGGAGCAGACAGAAGAACATGCACTCGTAAGTGTTGGTGACTCCTTGAAGATGATAAGACTCTTCTAAGTCAGATTTTTGAGACCACATTTGGAGTGAAAACTGTATTCTGCCACTTAACAGAAGATTTTGTCTTCTAGGACAAGTAGTCGACCCATGTACTCCAAACCCCTGTGATCCCACCAATGGTCGGTGTGTGGTACAAGGCTCTACCTACCAGTGTGTGTGTAACCCTGGTTATCAACTGTCTTCAGACAGAAGAACATGCACTCGTAAGTGTTGGTGACTACTTGATGATGATGCAATATTTTTCAATCAGATTTTTGAGGCCACACCTGGAGTGATGGGTAAATGTATTCTAGCCAATTATCAGAAGAACCTACCAATCCTCTACTAGTATTTGCAATCTTTAAAATAGATTGAAGTGAAAGGTACTATTTTGAATGTGTGGTCTAATCTCAGCCTTTGTCTTCCAGGACAAGTAGTCAACCCATGTATCCCGAACCCCTGTGATCCCACCAATGGTCGGTGTGTGCCACAAGGCTCTACCTACCAGTGTGTGTGTAACCCTGGCTATCAGCTAGGAGCAGACAGAAGAACATGCACTCGTAAGTGTTGGTGACTCCTTGAACATGACTAGACTATTTTCAATCAGATTTTTGAGACCACACCAGGAGTGAAAACTGTATTCTGCCACTTATCAGAATATTTTTTGTCTTCTAGGACAAGTAGTCGACCCATGTACTCCAAACCCCTGTGATCCCACCAATGGCCGGTGTGTGGTACAAGGCTCTACCTACCAGTGTGTGTGTAACCCTGGATATCAGCTAGCATCTGACAGAAGGACATGCACTCCTCGTAAGTCATTGGGTCCTTGTAAAAGTCATCAGATTTGACTTGTGGGAATCTTTTTTGAGTGTGTAGTCTAATCTCAACCTTTGTCTTCTAGGACAAGTAGTCAACCCATGTATCCCGAACCCCTGTGATCCCACCAATGGTCGGTGTGTGCCACAAGGTTCTACCTACCAGTGTTTGTGTAACCCTGGATATCAACTAGGAGCAGACAGAAGAACATGCACTCGTAAGTTTTAGTCACTGTCAAAGCAAATGTGATCTTTCCTTTTCAAGTCAAAGGTTTTTGATTTACTTGACTGAAACTTTCATCGTCGATTTTTGTGAGGTCTAACAAAAAATGTCTGTATTACAGGACAAGTAGTCAACCCATGTATCCCGAACCCCTGTGATCCCACCAATGGTCGGTGTGTGCCACAAGGCTCTACCTACCAGTGTGTGTGTAACGCTGGATATCAGCTAGGAGCAGACAGAAGAACATGCACTCGTAAGTCATTTAGTTGTTACCTTCGAAAACAGTTTGGAAAACAATTTGTCAAGTCAGGTGCAATATTTGAGGCTTAACAAGACTGTATATCTTATGCTTAAGAACAGTTCTTCATTAAATATTTGAAGTGTCAAACATTTCAGACTAGAAATGGGTAAGGTATGGGATCTCTTTTGACCTATAATTGTCTGGTCAAACCAAAATATTTGTGCTACAGGTCAAGCGGTCAACCCATGTATCCCAAACCCCTGTGATCCCACCAATGGCCGGTGTGTGGCACAAGGCTCTACCTACCAGTGTGTGTGTAACCCTGGTTATCAACTGTCTTCAGACAGAAGAACATGCACTCGTAAGTCTCAGGAATTACCTGAAGATAATTAATCCTTTTGAAGTACAAAAGGATTTGTAATTAGATTCACCTTTTTCACTTTTTCTGCCTTGTATTTTGTGTCATCTAATCTCAGCCTTTGTCTTCCAGGACAAGTAGTCAACCCATGTATCCCAAACCCCTGTGATCCCACCAATGGCCGGTGTGTGCCACAAGGCTCTACCTACCAGTGTGTGTGTAACGCTGGATATCAGCTGGGAGCAGACAGAAGAACATGCACTCGTAAGTGTTGGTGACTCCTTAAAGATGATTAGATACTTTTCAATCAGATTTTGAGGCCACACCTTGAGTGAAATCCATAGTTTTTTTATCACATAACCAGTATTCAGCCACATATCAGAAGACCTACCAATCCTCTATTTGCTATCTTTAAAATAGATTAAAGTGAAAGGTACTATTTTTAATTTGTGGTCTAACCTCAGCCTTTGTCTTCTAGGACAAGTAGTCAACCCATGTATCCCGAACCCCTGTGATTCCACCAATGGTCGGTGTGTGCCACAAGGCTCTACCTACCAGTGTGTGTGTAACCCTGGATATCAGCTAGGAGCAGACAGAAGAACTTGCACTCGTAAGTGTTGGTGACTCCTTGAAAATGACTAGATTCTTTTCAATCAGATTTTTGAGACCACACCTGGAGTGAAAACTGTATTCTGCCACTTATCAGAAGATTTTGTCTTCCAGGACAAGTAGTCGACCCATGTACTCCAAACCCCTGTGATCCCACCAATGGCCGGTGTGTGGCACAAGGCTCTACCTACCAGTGTGTGTGTAACCCTGGATATCAGCTGGGAGCAGACAGAAGAACATGCACTCGTAAGTCCCTATTGTTACCTCAACAACATATGGACACCTTTTATGTCATTAGGAATGGTGCAGAAAAATGTTAAGGCAACACCTTAAATATGGGTTTAGTCTAAAAATGTATAATTTGGAAAACTAACATTAATCTCAATGTGTCATCTATCAAAAATGTCTGTCTTTCAGGACAAGTCTTTAACCCATGTATTCCCAGCCCCTGTGATCCCATCAATGGTCGATGTGTGCCACAACAAGGCTTTCAATACAGATGTGAATGTAACCCAGGTTTCCAGCTGTCTACAGACAGTAGAACATGTGTTCGTAAGTGTTCATTGTTAAGTGTTACAAAACTGGTAAAAGTGCGGGTAACATATAATAAACATAATTTGTTTTTCTTTCTTGGTTTGTCTGGTTCTTGGCCCTGAACAATTAATTAAACTGTAAAATAGCTTTTCTGAATATTTGTCTCCTGTACGATGAAAAAGAAAACAGCAGTTATTTCCTTCAAACACAATAGACCATAGACAGAAGTATGACATAATGATGATTCCGCAATTACCAAAACAATATTGTGAAAAAAAAAGAATGGGAATGTCTTTCAGAGCATGTCTTGATGGGAATGTGTTTCTTATAACCTGACTTGTATGCATGTGTCTATCACTCAAGTTGCCAACAGGCACCAGGCAGCAGCATGTTTATCTAATAATAGTATTTACTATACAATTTTCTCTGTCATGTTGTACTATTGAATGTTTTGGATAACCTCCAGTTACTTTCCCTTCAATAATGATGCATGTACATGTATACATGTTCTCTTTCACTAACTGTCCTCTTTGTGTGTAAAGCCCTGCCCCCACCAAATCCCTGCTTACCCAGTCCATGTGACCCGGTCCGTGGGCAGTGCATTCCACAAGGATTGACGTTCAGGTGCACTTGTAGTGCAGGGTTCCAGCTCATGGGAGATGGACGGACTTGTGCCCGTGAGTTGTACTGACAATCCACTTGAGCACCTGCTTGGCAAGAGGCTCTTCCTTTTGTTGTGGTGATGCAGGTATAGCTGCTGCATAGGTGCTATAAAGTTAGTACATATACTGCCATCTTTAAGTTTCCAGGTTGGTTTCTTGATGACATGTTTCTGTTCAAACCTTAGAGCTGCGGAGGGACCCCTGCCAACCCAACCCATGTGACCCGACCAATGCCCGATGTATCCCAGAAGGAGACAACTTCAGGTGTGAATGTCGACCGGGATTCCAGTTGGCACCAGATGGAAGGACCTGTAACGGTGGGTCATCTCAATCTTGATTGATTATCCATGATGTTGGCTATGGTGGCTTTTCTTTTCATTTCCTGGGTAATAGAAAATATATAAGACCTTACTACTATAAAAAAAGGCTCAATCAGAAACTACTGAACATCAGATGTTTTCATTTACAGATTGATGATTCCCACGATTTGCGCACTTTTAAAATGTATATGATACTTTTGCAGCTGTTGTTATCCCACCACCATTTAATCCTTGTGAGCCAAACCCCTGCGATCCTTTCAATGGCCTGTGTACCCCCGAGGGAAGAAACTTCAGGTGTAGCTGTAGGGCAGGGTTTCAGTTGATGCCAGATGGCAGGACATGTACTCGTAAGTTCTGATGTAGTCTTTCTTACAGCTGGCAGTCACATGTGCCTTGTGCTGGCTTCACGTATGCCACTTGCCTACAGCGAGCCGGAAGATACTACAGCTACAGCTGATTTAAAATCTGACTAGTAAAGTTTTTTTTAATTCACCGGTTCCAATCTAGATGAGCAAGCTCCCTTCTAGCTTTACTGCTGCTGTTGTAATGACACATACATGTACTTTTGTTCCTGACATTCTATTTCAACTGCTGGTAATGACGTGTGCTGCCTCCAGCCAGACAAGAAAAGTTTACAGCTCCTTTTTGCTTTTTTGTCTCACTTTAAGTAAACCCTTTTCTTTTACCAACCTAGATTAAGATCATTCATGTAAGCTTTCTGCTAGTCCAGTTTTCACCAAAGTACATCAATGTCTATTTGTCCAAATGGTGACCATTCCACAGTCTATATTCCCTCATATCAAAAGTGAAAAATAAGGGTCTTTTGACCCATGTTGCAAGTCAAAAATGAGTAGAATAAGCTACTAGTAGATGTACTACAACACTGATTTTGTACTTTCATTTACACCCTAATAGTTCCTATACAGTATTTACATGGTCTCTGATTCATATGTCATCCTCTTGCAGCAATTGTTGCACCAGTAGCTAACCCTTGTATGCCGAACCCTTGCGATCCAATCAATGGACAGTGTATCCCTGAGGGAAGAAACTTCAGGTGTACCTGTAGACCAGGGTTTCGGTTGTTGCCAGATGGCAGGAATTGTGCTCGTAAGTTCTCATGAAGTTCTCCCACAGCTGGCAATAGCTTTTTACTAGCTTTGCCACCTGCTCACTTGCTTGGAGCTGAACAGAGGACTTCCTGACAGTGCTTAATTAATTCTAGTGTTGATGCTGCTGCTTCTGTGCAGTTATTTTGTGCTTCTGTATGGATATCCTGCAAGATACCTTTGTTTGGATGGACAACCAAGGAAAACAGCAGAAAGGTGTTAGGTTGATTCCTGTCCAACAAAATCTTTACAGGCAACATAGATTTGGTCTTCCAATGCTTTTTGTAATATACATCACTTGGCTGTTATGGCAGGGAGAAAAGTGTCAAAAAAATTGGTCAAGAGGGGCAGTCAGCATCTTATTTGGAACAAGATCATTTTCAATCATTCTTTTTGCTGCTTGATAATGGACACAGGTCACACCAAGATAGCTGCAGTAGTGATGATTTTTTTGTGTGTAGAACAGGGCTAACTGAACATATTTTTCTTTCCTTTGTTTAGAAATCAATCCTTGTGAGAACAACAACTGTGACCCTGTTAATGGCAATTGCTTACCTGCCTATTCCCCTGGAGGCGGCATATCCTTCACCTGCCGGTGTAACCCTGGTTTTCAGGGAGATGGCATAACATGCTTACGTAAGTCCATTTACGGCTACAATTATCTATTAAGTAGAATGTATTTCTAGTAACTATGCATTACCTTTCATGCACAACTTCATACAAATTCAGTTTCCTTCACTGTAGCTTGAAAAGAGAATGCTTTCTTGAAGTATTGTACTGATAGCCTGAAATCATCTATAATGTTAGTACATGTATAATGATATATGCTGTATTCTTTCAATCTTAGTGAAATAACAAATAAGTTTTGACATCCAGGTCAGGACCCATGCCTAAATAACGACTGTGATGCTACCAATGGCCAATGTATTTCACAAGGAAACACCTACACCTGCCAGTGTAACCCAGGCTTTCAAGGAGATGGAAGGACTTGTTTACGTGAGTTAGAAAATTATCGCTTCAGATGGCCCTTTCCTCTTATGTGAGTCAAATGTGTACCGAGACCCCAAAACTGACATAGTAATAGCATCAAGTGTATGTTAGCAACTGCAAGAATAATTTTTTTGATGTTGCAAATCTTTTAAAAGAAGTTAAGTTTCCAACTTGCCGAGGTTATTTCATTAACTCACCAGTGATACAAAACAGATGTCTTAATGTATGAAAATATTCATCTGAGAACGATGTATATTTACCATAGCCTTAATCTTTTTATTTGGATATTTTTTCATCCAGGACAGGACCCATGTCTGAACAATGACTGCTCGGAGAATGGCAGATGTATCCCACAAGGCGATACTTACACCTGCCAGTGCAACCCTGGGTTCCAGGGCGATGGGAGGACATGTACTGGTAAGTTACTCGGATAAGACTCACAATAAAGTTGCTACTATCTTAAGTCTTTTCTCTTTCCCTAAATAGTCTCTTTCTTTAGATATTAGATATTTTCGATATTGTGCTCAGTATCTCTCAGTCCTATCCCCCTTCTTGTTTGAAGATCCATTCTCTCTACTTTTCAAGGAACGGCCTTTTTTCTGCACAGATTCTGCTTAAGACTTACCATACTACATGTACATCATGCACATATATATCATGCAGGTCATACAAAGAAACCAGCATATTTATGTTTTTTGCAGCAATTGCTCCAGCAGACCCATGCGAGAACAATGACTGTGACCCCAATGGCAGATGTATCCCACAAGGCACTAGTTACACCTGCGAATGTAAGGATGGTTTCCAGGGTGACGGGAGAACTTGTACCAGTAAGTTAATTATTTTCATCTGTGTATGTACTCGGCCAGTTGTCTCTGTTCAAGTTTTGCCCTTGTTCCTTATTTGTTTGCCATTGTTGGAAGCAATGTTGATATGAATTTCTTGTGTTTGATAATTCAGTAGTTCATAGCTCTCTGCATTAATATTTGAACTGTCCCTCTTTGTGGTCAAGAGCAATACAATAGATATATGCCAGCTGATTTTGGTTGACAATTAAGCAAGGAGAATATTTAAATATTGTATTGATATAGAAGCAGCGATGCCTAACAGCGATGCCTAAACTTCATTAACAGGATTCACAACATAGCTGCTTCTCAATTCTATGCTGCATTGCTTCTGTCTTGAAAGTAACTTCCAATACACCCACCTTCTGTGTCCCATCCTTTAGCCATTGACTCTTGCAGGATAAATGATTGTGACTTGGTCAACGGACACTGTGTCCCCCAGGGCCGCACATACATGTGTGAGTGTAACCCTGGGCACAGTGGCAATGGAAGAAGCTGTACCCGTAAGTTACTTGCTCCAAGCCCATCCCTTTCTCCTTGCATCTTAGCTTGTCTGTTCGCTATCCTATTCACACACCTATTACTATTTTAGTGATTGACTGTGCTGAAAGAATACAGCGTTTCTCCCTTCCTTCCGTTTTCATGTTGTTAAATATTTACTTGAAGTGTAAGAGAACTATGTTCATGCAGCTTAGATTTAACATCACTACTTTATTTGTGCGTTCAGGGATTGCTCCAGTAGACCCATGTGCAAACAACGACTGTGACCCGATCAATGGGCAGTGTTTGCCACAGGGAACACCTTTCACCTGCATCTGTAACTCTGGTTTTACGCTTCTAGCAGACGGCAAGACCTGCCTACGTAAGTCAAATACTTAAAAGTTTTCTTTCTGACTTATTTTCCTCATTGTGTACTTGTATTACATTATATGTGAATATAGTGTATTACACTATTCCCACATGTACCTGATTATGCAGAGTCCCCCTGTAGCAGTTCTTATAATAGTTCAAGGTTTAAAAAATTCCCAATGGTTTGATTACAATGCCATTGGTTTTTCATATGTAGTTCATCACAGTAATTTTGTTGTTACTCCTTACTAGGACAAAACCCATGCCTTAACAATGCTTGTGACCGTAATGCTCGCTGTGTGGAGGATGCCAGCAGCCCGATTGGCTATCAGTGTGTCTGCAACGCTGGGTTTCTGGGCAATGGTTTCACCTGTAGAGGTGAGTATTTTTTCCTCTAGGGGTTGATTACTAGATGTTGCAGTGGGCATACAGGAAAGAAAACAAAAACATCTTCACTTCTGCATTTGAATGTTTTAGTTTCAGCATGTGTGTTTGTGTGTAATAGCCATATGTTTGTTGCCACCAAGAAATCAATATTCTTGAAATAAGGCAGTGAACCACTGAGGTGAATTGAAAATGCTTAAGACAATGAATACTGCAGTAGGATGTACTAGAGCAACAGTCACCAACACTAGTAACAGATTGGTCAGAATTCTCAAACAGTAGAAACTTATTTTTTGTCCTCGGTTGTAGTCAATGACCCCTGCCAGAACAACCAGTGTGACCTCAACGCCAACTGTGTGCCGGCTGGAGATTCCTACAGATGTTCCTGCAAGCCAGGATATCAAGGCTCAGGATTCTCATGTTCAGGTAAACTATTTATCTCTGTCTGGGAACTTTTTCATCTACCACTGATGGTTGATCTGTTGGTTTGACATTGAACAGGATACATGTAGTTTAAAAATATCTTTAAAAATATCTTAAAAATAGATTTCCATCATATCAAAAAGCCTAGATAGGTCTTAGCTCATCTTAGCTTAGCAACTACATGTAATGTGAATAATTTTAGGAATGATGACACGGTAACATCCTCTAGATATTTCATTCTGGGATTCTTAAAGTTTATTAATAGAATTTATAGCAATCTGACTATATCCTTTTCAGACTGTAAGTTACATGTACTTTGGAAGCCACTTGTAGTTGTGTTATAACTGCAATCCTATGTTGTATGTTTTGGATCTCACATGTTTTTTATTTTTCTGTGTAAGCAGAGGTGGACCCTTGTGATACCAACAACTGTGACCAAAATGCAAACTGCATCCGAGAGGGCACGACCTTCAGGTGTGAGTGCAAGCCACCCTTCACAGGAGACGGAGTCACCTGCACAAGTATGGCCAGCTTAAGTCCTTATTGTATATTGTGCCTTTGCCCTTCACCCTATTTTCTCTCTAACGTGTTGTTTCTAGGTCACCTGTCACTTGGAATTAGAAAGTCACTCCTCAATTCCAAGGTCTCATTGTTGAAATCCCTACACTTCTACTTCACTCTTAGTATTTTTATTTGACATGAAAAGTTGCCTGGAAAATCCTAATTTCTGTTGCCTTACTAAATTTGGAGTGACAATTCTCTTTTCTCTGTCTTGCCTATCAAGATCTGACCCTCTTTCTTCTCTTTCTTCCTTGATTCTATCCTGTGTCCCAACATGTTTGTTGTTAACTTTGTCCCAGTTTCCTTTGCCACTCTTTTCTTTCTACTTCTACAATTGACTGGACAAAAACCATCACCAGTCATCCATCCCAGTGGAGGTAGTCTCTTCTCTGCTTCTGCTTTTCCTTTTCTCCTATCTCCATCTTATTTCAAACCTGTTGCTGTTGTCTGTCTAGTCTTGTCCCTCGCCATATAGACCCTGATCTGTAGTAGCTTGGTGCCTCTTTATGGGTAGGTACAACTGTCTTGTGTTTTGGATGTGAGCTTAACAATTGACACTTGTTAACTTGTATGGTTGTTCATCTATGTGATACAGGCTAGTGAGCCCCTAATCCATTGGTTTTGACATGGATGATTTGACCATGGCTAAATCATGTTCACTTGAATCAGCGAATAGTTCTATAGCTCTAAAATTTCTGTTTCCCCTTCCAGTTCCAAATATGTGCATATTCCAACCTTGTGACATTAATGCTGACTGCATCAGCCAGCCTGGGTCCTTCAGCTGCAGGTGTCGTCAGGGTTTCCAAGGCGATGGATACTACTGCAACCCAATTCGTATGTACTTGTACCAAATTCTGCTATATAGGCCTAACTTATAAAAATGAGGTGCATGAAGAATGATAGTAGGAAACAATACATTTTTAAATCGCCAGGAAATACTGTCAGGGCTTACAGACAAATTAAACAAAAAGATTGCTGCAAACATCGAAGTAAAGAGATATTATGGATTCAAAATACTAAAGTAAACATGAATCAAGGATAGTATGTGCTTGTGATTGCATCTGGGTTTGTCAGCGATTTTGTTGGTTAATTTTTTTCTGTTCGAATGTTTTGAGGTGTTGGATGGGGTGGCAGCACTGACAGACAATTTATTGCATTAACTTGATTAAGACCACTGAACTGATGTTATCTCATTAACCTCTCCCCCAGCCGATCCCTGTTCCTATCCTGACTGTAGCCCCAATGCCAAGTGCATCCCCAACATGGCGACAGGAGAGCACACCTGCGAGTGTCTCCCCGGATTCGTCGGCAATGGCATCTTCTGCACAGGTGAGGGTTTAAAACTTAATTGTGAAGAAAATATTTTGCAAGATAGACCAAAATTATCGAAGAAAATGAAATGTTCTGACCTAATCTTAATCTTTTTACTGCTACAGGCATTAGCCCAGAACCTACCCTGGGACCTAACCCAGGACCTAATCCTGGGCCTAACCCAGGGCCTGTGGACCCAGATAAGGAGGTTCGTCAGTGTTTGACAAACGACTGCGATGTGAATGCTGACTGCATTGCAGCTGGTTCTGGGGACGGATACAGCTGTGTGTGTAAGCAGGGATATGTGGGAGATGGGAGAACATGCACAGGTAAGACTATGTAACTACTTTCCATTGGTAGCCACCACCAGCCTTATTGCTACCGGGCTACTACATCTCAAGCATGTTGCATTCTTAATAAAGTATGTACAGGTAGAGGTGGGACAATAAAACTTTTATGACATGCAGACAGTTACATGTAGGACAATGTACAGGTAGGCTAAATGTAATGAAATTGTATTGGTTGAGCAATGGGCCAATAGTAACTAGAGGTCGGAGATCTCATGCCTTCGTCAGAGGGACATTGTTCTAGATAAACAAATGTTTTTTAATACTAGAATATTACTTGGTCTGGCTTTACAATTAAGGGAATGGCCTGATGCATGCCCCCCCCCCAACAGTAGTTATAGGACAGCCCCTTAATTGTAAGCAGTTGATCCCAGATGGGGAGACCAGCTGTCCCTCTGGCTGTCCCCCATCTGAATCAAAGCAGAGGTTGGTGGGGGAAGATCATTATATATCTAACACAAAAGGTCCACTGCAGCGACATAGGGGACCCCCCCACGAGTCCCATTTTTAAACTTGACCTTGGCCTCTACAATGGTAGCTTGCCTACCCAGGGTTCGAAATACAAAGGTGCAATGTGCAAATTGCACATAATTTTCAAGATTTGCACCTAAAAATATTTTAAATGTGCAATTTTGCACCTGGACAATACCGATATATCATGTTTGCACTGCGTATCTCCGAAGTTTCTTGTGTGTCGGCATCGCGCTGGGCGCATGGCAGCCATATTGTTTTCTTTACTGAACATCCTGGGAACAAGCTGCTCTCGTCCCCAGGTGAAGACGCGAAGGCATTACGTAATGATTTACCTAATATGGCAAGACGCGAAGGCCTACGTAGCTGATTTACCAAATATGGTGAGACCCGCGAAACTTGTTGCCCGATGTGGGACGAAGTCCTTCGGCAGAGTAATTTCGGCTTTTTCGTCCAATTTTCGGTAAAATTCGGTGAAAAACAGAGTTTTCGGATTTCCCAGCATTCAGTGCTACCCAGGAAATTTGTAAAGCATGAAGAAGGGCCCATGAAGAAGGGGTCGATTTTCAAGTTCTTTTCACGGG